ACTCAGACTCTCCATTCTGTCAGCACACACCTCCACTTCTCTCTTTCCCCCACTCATTCACTCCATTCTGTCAGCACACACCTCCACTTCTCTCTTTCCCCAACTCCAACTCTCCATTCTGTCAGCACACACCTCCACTTCTCTCTTTCCCCCACTCATTCACTCCATTCTGTCAGCACACACCTCCACTTCTCTCTTTCCCCCACTCAGACTCTCCATTCTCTCAGCACACACCTCCACTTCTCTCTTTCCCCCACTCAGACTCTCCATTCTCTCAGCACACATCTCCACTTCTCTCATTCCCCCACTCAGACTCTCCATTCTGTCAGCACACACCTCCACTTCTCTCTTTCCCCCACTCAGACTCTCCATTCTGTCAGCACACACCTCCACTTCTCTCTTTCCCCCACTCAGACTCTCCATTCTCTCAGCACACACCTCCACTTCTCTCTTTCCCCCACTCAGACTCTCCATTCTCTCAGCACACATCTCCACTTCTCTCTTTCCCCCACTCAGACTCTCCATTCTGTCAGCACACATCTCCACTTCTCTCTTTCCCCCACTCATTCACTCCATTCTGTCAGCACACACCTCCACTTCTCTCTTTCCCCCACTCATTCACTCCATTCTGTCAGCACACACCTCCACTTCTCCCCCCCCCCCCCCCCCCCCTCCAACTCTCCATTCTGTAAGCAGACACCTCCACTTCTCTCTTTCCCCCACTCATTCACTCCATTATGTCAGCACACACCTCCACTTCTCTCTTTCCCCCACTCAGACTCTACACTCTGTCAGCACACACCTCCACTTCTCTCTTTCCCCCACTCATTCACTCCATTCTGTCAGCACACACCTCCACTTCTCCCCCCCCCCCCCCCCCCCCCCCCCACCCCCCCTCCTCCAACTCTCCATTCTGTCAGCACACCACTTCTCTCTTTCCCCCACTCATTCACTCCATTATGTCAGCACACACCTCCACTTCTCTCTTTTCCCCACTCAGACTCTCCTTTCTGTCAGCACACACCTCCACTTCTCTCTGTTCCCCACACAAACTCTCCATTCTGTCAGCACACACCTCCACTTCTCTCATTCCCCAACTCCGACTCTCCATTCTGACCAGCACACACCTCCACTTCTCTCTTTCCCCCACTCATACACTGGTGTTTGAAGTCATCATGTAACATTACTTTCCCTTAAAGTTGCTAAATATGTTACATTTCTTAATTATGTACAACAGTAGGGCGGGCAAAATGAATAATTGTTCATTATTTGTGTCAACATAAAAAAAAAAATCCTAAAATGTCTTTTCTGTCACTGAAATGTATCTGTGCTGTCACTATTAAAAGTCTGTGCTGTTACAGAAGATCTACTGTGCAGTGTAATCAGTGTTTATTGACCCAAATGTTAATAATATTCAGATTTTCATGCAACAAGCAACCATACAAAATACACTACCATTCGTGTTTTCTTTGTCTTTTAATATATATATATATATGTTGAAACATTTATTGAACACTCTATGTCTGTGCTGTCGCCTAAATATGTCTGTCCTGTCACTTTTTTTAAGGTGACAGCAGAGACAGTGACAGGAGAGACAAACTATGACATAATGCCAGCTTAGGGCAATGACTTCTCCCTTATGCTACAAAAAGCACACTGCTTGAGTTCCATTCTGACAGTCAAATATACTCATTATATTTGATTTTTTAAATAACAATTTCGGAATCCAAAATGCATGGTGACAGCACAGACACCTACAAAAAGTACACATCAAAAGACAACACTTACCAGTTTTTTTCAAAACACTTCACCACTGTAAATTGCTTGAGCATATGGGGACATGATAGTACTGGAAAGGAAATCACCTGCAAAGACCTTAGCCTTCTGGGATACCAAAGGTGCTATTATTATTTGCATTAGTACTATCTGGTGACAGGACAGACACTATTACTCTGGACAAGATTACTGTTGCCAAAAATAATGAATCCAAGTGGAAAACCAACAGGTTTTCTGCTGTTATTAACCTTTCATGATGTCATGCTACATAAGTCACCAGGGCATTGGAAAGTATTTGTTCCCAGAGACTTTTATAATTTGAGAAAATTTGATTTTTTATTTGTGGACAACAAATTTCTGCACATTTCTGCACATTTAAGGTATTTTACTGGCTAACATAAGGTTATAGCAGTAATTGGATCAGAATATTGCATACATCTAATAAATATCTTCATTGTCAAGTAATCTGAAAACAGAATTATGAGTTGTTTTCAAGAAAATTCATTTACAGGAAATGTTACTTTTTTAGAGAATGACCCATATAAGATATATAATATAGCTACGCGATAAATCGCAAAGAACAATGAAGTAAGAAGCGTGGTTTATTTCACGATAAAACAATGTCTAAATAGAGGTCAGTTCCGATACACAAATGTTGATATTCGTTCAAATTATGAAGCTACGGGTATATTCGTTTATGTTTTATAATGGAGAATTCATTGCACACGATCGAGACCTCTAGGACATTGTAAATCAGTACTATGAATTATACCTAAATCGTATTCTTCCGTGTTGTATGAAAGAGCTGACATCCCGCCACACATGCGCTGCTGACATCTGCTGCACTGCACAATGCAACACAGTTTCCTGCGGATAACGTGTAGGCCCCAGATGGCGGCGCTACGATTCAGCAACAACACAATATTCGCTCTATCAGTTGACAATGTAGGAAATACTTGCACATCATTAAATTTAAAAAAAGGAAAGCTGATAAAGTGTTCAACCACCTGTGTATAAAATTGGTTTGCGCGCGCATATGGTTCTTATTATAATTATAGATGGTACGTTTTCTTACATACAGTAAACTACGGTTATAACGAACACGCTTATAACGAACTGACGGATATAACGAACTTACTTTTTGGTCCCGACTACTTGCTGTAGTCATGCTGCATATGTACTCATAACGAACTACGGTTATAACGAACTAAAATTAGTAGTCCCTTTGAGTTCGTTATAACCGTAGTTTTCTGTAGTCCCTTTCATTGTGTATTTCTATGCAGTGGTACGTTGTTGTAAATTATATTTTCTATAGCGCAACGTTCTCTCATATAAATGGGATTATAATAGTAATTACGTTTCTGTTTAAATGGCATGTTCTGAAATATGTCAAATGGTGTTTGGACTTCTCAGATAATTCATATCATGATAGTATATTTCTGTTAAACCGTATATGGTCTAAAATAATTATATATTCTTTAGTGCAACGTTTGCTCAGCTGCTAGGTGTTTGTAATACTATAGTATTCTGTAAAACCGTTTATCTTCAAAAATAATTATATATTACATACTGAAACGGGTTTTTATTCAGAAGAATCATGTCACTACATTCCTGTTGAATAAATAAATATTAATTATTTGTCTTCAAGTCTGCCGTTTTCTCAGAACATTTATCACACAACAATAGTATTTCTCAAAGTCTTTAGCGTGACAAGCGAACGCTTCGACCAATTGATTCCCTACAGCCCAAAATTAAGATATAAATCCTTTAAAACGACCAATCATAATTTCAATACAATTTGAATACAATCATAAATAACCCACGTTGACAATTAAAGGAACCGCATTAAGTCGGGCAGATGTGTTCCCAGGTTCGACTAGGGCCCACTTGCACGAAGCGATCTTAGCGCTACAACTATTGTAAGCCTATGTTAAAGTATGGGAGTTACGATCATCTTAGCGCTAAGATCGCTTTGTGCAAGTGGGCCCTGATCCCGTTTCTTGGTTTTTCAGCACAACACCCATGCGTATTCGTGGGATTCACAAAAGATCCGGGTTCGAGCCCCAGGGGTGCAATGTACGAATGCTAGTGAAGATGTCCCCTGCCATGATGTTGCTGGACTTTTGCTAAAGGCGGCGTACAAATATACTCACTCACGAAACTGATGTAAGATAGCATTCAAGATTATTGCACTTATCTAGTGACGTGCATGTTCAGTTTTATACTCGCCATTAATGGGGTTTTATTAAAGATAAATAGGAGTGCGGACATTTCAGGTCTAAAATAATTTCCAAAATACATTTACTCAGTCGCCCGATCGGAAAACTGAGGAAATTAATTGAATAAGCTATTTTTTTAAATATCATAGTATAAATTAATGGAGTGAGCGTTTTTAATGCTATTGGATTCATACGGTAATATACATGCCAAATGGTATATGGGACTTTAGGTACCATTATAGACTATAGAGTTTAAGTGCATTGTATGCTTCTTTTGGTAACATTTACAATTGAATTGTAATCCGAGTGCACACTCAAATTGATTATTTTCACAAATCTAGCAATTCGTGTGTATTGCGTTCACGCACTGATATGTTATGTCGCATTGGGTAAGTTAGACTTACATTTAGTCTCTGAAATCTTATGTTACACAATTTCCTTCTTGACTCTAATAATAAAACGTCCTATGCTGATTTCTGATGCTGATTGTGGAATAGAGCTAGCTTGAGCTGGCTAGACTTGCTTTTGTATGCATTTCCAGATAAAAAAAATCATAAAATAAATATATTCCACGGTCATGGTGTAGGACTATGGGTAAGTATACCTTATAACGCAATGAATATATACCAGGAGCGTACAGCGATATGTTATAACACAAGATGCGGATTATCGAACAGCCTTCACATCAATGACAAGTGCAGTGAAATTTCACTGTCTTAGTTTCGTAGAAGAGAGGTGTATTCAATGGTCTGCATATTTGCCAACATTGATCCGGGAGGTGTGTCCGTGTGTCGCTGCGAATGTCCAGGCACCCAACGGTCAACACAGCGACAGTTGACCATCCACGCCACGGATTCCAAGCAAACACCCTCAAGCCACAAGTGGACACATGCGATTAATTATCGTTATACCACTGACAAATTACGAAATGGAATCCTGATCCAAACGTAACACATGAGCTATCTTTCACTTTCAGCAGTTTGATTTTCCGCTGGAGGCGGGCACAGTCGACCTATCGCGAGCAGGCGGTATCGTCACGGATCGCAGATAAAGACTGGTCCGCGAGGATCTCGCACTGTGAATGTGGGTCACACGAGAGCGTGCACTGAACAGAGTGGTCGGACCTAGCCGGTGGGACAAAAAACATCAGCCACACCACGTTTCGCCTCTCTTTAGGAATCAGAAAGTCTTTCTTACACACGTAAGTACTCTTTTAAACCCTTGTTTAAAACCACTTCTCCCAAAGTACCGAATTGCAGGTGTTGGGTGGGAGTTTGCGATCAGACAACGTGACCGCACCGCACCTGTCCTCAATCAGACGCCAAATACACCTGAAGCCTCGACAAGTGTCGTGTCGAATAGATATTAACTTAAAGAGTACAGCCTACAGGTATTTTATACCTGTGTCGTTCTTAATTGTGGTTTCATTTGACGCGGCTGTAATTGTTAATCATTATCGACATATCCATGCAACACCTGTCTACATGGCGGTATTCCACCATTAGGAAGACATGTTGGTAGCGGGCCACCACCCAGTAACTGTCACGTGATGACAAGGATGTAAAATTCGAGTTGTATTTTTCGCCAAGGAATCGTTTCCCTGTTCAGTCGAAGTGTTTGGTGTTTGACATTAGCGTCGAGAGATTATATGTGAGTATTCTCGAACATTCTGTCGCCATGTCGCGTGTGGGGGGATCACTAAAGCGTGAATTAAATGTCCGTCTAACCCATTTTACAACTACGTCTCTTTCATAAGCAACTTTCGTCCCATTTTGTAAGCTGCATGTCATTAATATATATCCTGGTTTACCATAACACGTATTCACAGTTATTAATCTCCTCTTAAATGATTTTGCAACAATTACACATTTTACGCAACTTGTTACGAATATCTGTTCTTTTTTTGTGAGAAGAAAATAGGATACAAGCACATGTTGGTACTTAAATGAAATAGATCTACTTCCGCCCCTTCCAAGGAGGATTGATTAATATCACTGGAAACGCGAACACATGCGCAAAGAAAGTAACTATTTGTTAGGTCACAATAATTTCACATTTGCTTCGTATAGTATCATTCAATTGATTCTGTTGATTGAGATTCTGGATAAAGTTTGTGAGGATTTGCTACCTTCAAACCCCCCACCTCCATTTGATGGTCATGATCTGAGGCATTGCGAGAACATCGCTTATTTGTTCATCAACAATTTGTCTGATATTATTTATGAATTTTGTCCTGATTTTCTGACAATTCTGATTATAAATATCCATAGTTCCTTTGGTATGTACTTTTAACAGTAAGTCCTACAGTGCAGCCAATGTGTAGAAAGTGCACTAGTTACCACTTTCTTCTTCTGGATTTGATAGCATAAACTGTAATTGTGAAATATATTTTTAAACATAGGTTGCTAGCCAGGTATACACATACAATATTTGTAGAACGTCGCTGTACGATAATATAAATGTAATTCGTTTCTGGGTGAGTGTGATCTTAATTTCAAACGACATCCGCTTGTCATAGTCCATATGTGGACAAGAAGAGGCCACGCCCGTTCTATTACTATGGCGGCCGAGATTGGTCACGAATGACCGTTAACACCGTTTCAATTAAATATTATAACTGAGCTATCCACGTCTATTTAGTACTTGACAAATATCATTAGAGTGACAGTTGAGAATTGATGATCTTATTCTTCGCCTCGGGCCTCCACTCATATTCTCCAGTTTCGTGTGTCGTGGCTAGGTTTGTGATGCGCGAGTCTACATCTCCCTCTCTATTCAGTCTGAATGATGTCATAAGCGTTTATTAATCACTTGACCCCTCACACCATGATGCGCTGACTTGCATGCCTACCGCTCCATACTTATCTCCGCACCGACCTCCGACACCGGCCTTGCCCCGTCACCTCTACGTGTCCTCCTCGCTATAAGGACATTACTCACAGTAACGCCTACTTCCTGTCTGTAACGAATGACATCGAAGTTGTAGCCTCTACGCCTTATTTACGACACAGTTTGATTTGGGTTTAATAGGTAATATACTAATATAATCATTATGCTGTATCATTGAAAGAATAACGCACTTAATAGGTAATATACTAATATAATCATTATGCTGTATCATTGAAAGAATAACGTACGTTTAATAATTCGCATATACTTTCTAATGTAAATGTTCTTATATATATATATTTGTTCTTTTTTCTTTATTAAAAAAGCATGACGTTTTCTACATACGAATTTGCATGCGGTTTTCGTTTGTCGTGATTTAATACATGGACTCGGTCTGTATATGTACAATTACTCATTCGCTCTCGCTTCTTTCTTCCTTGTACAATATCAATATATGTATGACAAGAAGGGTCGAAATTGATTGGTTGGGGTTAAAAAAAACAACTCGTTTGTTATAACTCCTTACTGTGCCGAGCGCATAGATTGTGTTGGTGGGGTTTTTCATAAGCTCATGATAAGAATAAAATACTTCCTGCTCGCGAAAGCTAAACAGCTATTGTCATTTGAGTGATATTTCGCTATGACCTTCATTGACCACCGGTGCAGGTCTCTTGTCGAGTAATATAATAACCATTGCATCCCTCAGTAATGCAAATATTGAAAAACGAAATGGTAAGACTATCGTACGTTCCACACACTTTAAATACAGGGAAAGCGTCCCTTTTGAAGTACGAACTACCCTGTATAACAATTGCCAGTGTAGCCTTCTTGACTCGTCAGGGGGCACGGGTGGCCCAGTCGTCTAAGGCGCCGCGATTCGCTGTGCAGAGTTGCGTCCCTTGGGCACGCCAGAAACCTATGATTGTGGGTTCGAATCCCGGTTCGCCCCGATTATGTTTCTAGGTTTGTCAGCACCATACCCGTGCTCGTTGGTTTCACCGAAGTGGTAAACGTCTGAGACCTGCATCACTTCGGGCTTTCCTCCAACATTAAGCTGACACGCCTCGATATGACTGGAATACTGTTAAAAGCGGCGTTAAACCCAACTCACTCACTCACTCACTCACTCTTGACTCGTCATATAAGCAACCACGCCGACATACTGCCATAAAAGAAGAGGATATTGTAATTATAATATAACTAACGAGGAATAATATTATTATTATTAATGTACAAAGTTATATTTTCATAGCCTTAGATTATATAGGGAATGCTTTTATTTGCTCATCACAAAATATATAGTTCAGGCGTGGTTGATAAAACATGAATGGCGCAATATTTCCGGCATAAATTATTTCAGTCAAGGGAGAGGTCGAGTTGATATTGTCAGATAAATGCAGTATTTTAAGCAAAATACAGTAAACTACGGTTATAACGAACACGCTTATAACGAACTGACGGATATAACGAACTTATTTTTTGGCCCCGACTATTTGCTGTACTTATGTTGTATATATGCTTATAACGAACTACGGTTATAACGAACTAAAATTACTAGTCCCTTTGAGTTCGTTATAACCGTAGTTTACTGTATATCATAACTTTATCCTCTAACATTCTGTCGTATCCCAGCTGATAGCTAAACACCCGTAATACGATGTATTTGTCAGATCCATATATCCGGCTATGAGTCCCAGTTTGTATTTTGTATTTATTTCTGAAAGTACTTTTCAAACTATGTCAAAATATACGATGGTTCCATGGACAATATTAATATGTATATATCATTCACTGAAATATTTGACTCGTGTGTATCGCACATTTAGTGTATTACTTGAGTCTTGACATTTGAATACAGTAAGCACGTGTTTAACTCAAGGAGCTGGTTTCAAACGGAGGGTCGTTTACCACGACTCGTTTGTTCGGAAGAGAGCACGGTGACCGGCGGTTATAGTCTACCGAAGCTAATTGCCTGTGCGTTCACAGACTAGCGCGTTAGTGTTGCTAGCACCAGATGAACTGGGTTCCGTCCCTTGCACATGTTTTCGGTGTCCGAGAGTCCCTAACATTTACTGAGGACAATTTTGTCTCGGGAAATATTCGGCACGCTTGATGTTTTTTTTACAACTCTGTAAACGTTTATTTATTTTAAACATCACCCGTTATGATAGGTTGTGCTGTTGCTATGGGTTACCTGATGTGGATAAAACATGGCCGTCTGCACCAGAGCACTTGTGATTTCAGCTAGTTTATTTGTATAATAGACAGAATTTCCCCGATAATCATCTGTGATTTATTCCTCTCTCCTCTCTCTCTCTCCATATATATATATATATATATATATATATATATATATATATATATATATATACACACACACACACACACACACACACACACACACACATACACACACACACACATATACACACACATACACAATAGATACAATGTGGCAGGAGTATACATGTTTGTTTGTTCAAGACTATAATATTCACTTTACTTTTAGGCACTATGTCGTGGGAAGCGTATATGACGAGTCTAGAGGGCTACACGAACAATAAGATGCATTATGGAGCCATGTATGGTCTCGACGGCAACGTCTGGACAAGCAAGGGGCCCCTGACTGTCACGAAAGATGAGGCACTGTCTTTAGTCAAGATTTGCGATAACAATGATGTCGAAAAGACCAAAGCCCAGAGTGGAGGAATTTTCCTCGATAGTAAAAAGTTTCGGTTCTTGAGGTCTGATTCCGACGAGAAAAGCGTAACCTTCGTCCGCAGTGAAGGAGAAAAGCTACATAACGGATTTGCCATTAAGACCAAAATGGCAGTTATCATCTGTTTGTGTGAAGAAGAAGGCAAAAGCTCTACTGCCACATCAGGAACATGTAAACTAGCGGAGTACTTAGTGTCCTTGGGTTATTGACTTGTTATATGTGGAGTGTTCCGATGCAGCACAGTTTGGAAGCTACAAGGTGATAGTCGTCCACATTCCGTTATGGATAAACGTGAATGCTGTGAGCTTCAATAAACATTTTCTACGTTTCACTGTACACATCACTGTTTTCCATGTAATCTTTAACAGCGATATCTATTAAAAAAAAGATGCTCTAATTAAAACAATAATTACAATATATCTTTTGCTAGATGCTCATAGATTTCAGCAAGTTGCTATTTTGATTATGTAAGTCTCTCAAATGTGATTGGAATAATAAACCCTTTCATCAACCATACTTCTTGAGGTATTGTCCAAAAAAGGGAAAATTTGTCTAAACGTATACGTCCTGCCTAATGGTAGTATCAGCCAAAGTGCAAAAATCTGGCTATGAAAGCGTGGAACAGGGAAACACGTTCTCGGATATTTCACGACCCAAACATCTGTCATGCACAGTGTCAAGTAATGGTAGCAATTTTTAGATCCGATCAAACGCAACTATATCACTTTTTACGGAACATCTTCGAACATGTTTAATGTATTGTGTTCATTTATAATTTGTATACAACAGTATTTATGGCAAGCTCACTGCAAGTTATAACTGATTTCAAAAGTATTTCCTCATTAAAATATCCTGAAAACAGCCAATACTTGACAATGGTATGGATTGTACGAAGGTGATTGATGAACACGTTCATGGATGGCTGTCTGAACATCTCCCTTAAACGTGTACATGCCACTGCATGTTTGCTGCAATGGTGACAAAAGCAACTTGTGTAGGCCTACACTGTTTCATAGATTGTGCATATGTAGAACTTAACATGCTTATTATAAGCCTATCACTGCAAGTTATTTCAATTGGGAGCGGAACACACCTCTATGGATCTTCTACAGTACACATGTGAAACACAAACTGTTTCACAAAGTTTAATCCTGATATCTCGGAATCTGTCAAAGGTGATGACCTGTTTTACCTCAAAGTGAGACCTCAGGTCGCAGTTGACTTCGTGAATAACGAACTCGACACAAGGGATCTCTGCACTAGAGAATCCAGATTGTAAGTCCTGCCTGACGAGATAATTTTATTTTGGATTGGATAAGAAAATAGAACTTTACAGCTTTCATTGACCCATGTTTAGGGTGAAGAAAATACTAAATACATTCATTGTTTTATGCCTCGAGTAAGTTAATTTACATAGGCTACTCTGCCCTTAAAGATTGTGTAAACATCTAAGACCTGCACCACATCGGGCTTTTCTCCCATGATTAGTGCTGACACTTTGTGATATAACTGGAATACTGTTCAAAGCGGCGTTAAACCAAACTCACTCACTCACTGACGGATGGTGATACTGGTTTTTGCATAATAAACAACTCAATACGGACATTATTTTATGACTGAAAGTGTTGTGTTCGAAGACACCGCAAATTGACAAACACATTCTTCAGTTGTTGTTTTCTAACGAGTTGTACTACTTCAATTCGCATGAGGAGAGGTGGGGTAGCCTGGTGGCCAAAGCGTTCGCTCGTCACGCCGAAGACCCTGGTTCGGTTCCACACATGGGTACAATTTGTGAAGCCCATTTGGTGTCCCCCGCCATGATATTGCTGGAATATTGCTAAAAGCGGCGTAAAACCAAACTCACTCACAAGGCCTGATTACTGACCATAATTTAATAACATATTTGTGACGTCTGGCATCTTCAAGAGCGATTATATTCTACGACCTGGTGCCAATTTCAAGTCAAGGCCAAGTTCTAGGACGTTTCAATGAATGACTATCTAATTCTGTAAGTATTTGTTTAGGACAGTCATTAACTGTTGGGTTTGGAAACAGCTTACCCAGTCAGCTGACAAATAACGTGAGGTTTGGAGCACTTTCTCAAACTTGGGACTGTCAATTGACCCGAGCCAAATTCCTTTAATTACCAAAATATCCCCGCAATTTGTCACGTTGCAACAATTGCCTGACATCACCACGCTGTGTACTAGAACAATGAAAATGTGTATTAACGCATTAAGTTACGGGGTGTATTTTCCGAGTTTGTTGTTTACGAAATGTGAGCATGTTGACATGCAATTCTGGTCCGATATTATGAATGTAACCTGAATTTTTATCATAAAGTATCAAACATGTAGGGCACCCCACAAAACTTGATATTTACTCATACCAGTGTTATGAGTCAGTAGTATTGTAGATGTTGAGTGAGTTGTCCCTATCGATCACGCTGAATCAGAGCCAACGCCATGAAATGTACAACCCTACACTGTACAATGTCGTTATCGATCTGGTGACGACTGCCTCTCTGCCGCACTGCACGCTCACATCACTTCCTTTTAACCCGACCGGCAGAACGCCCAAAGTGAGTACGCTTGTCTGTGAATCTTAATGTAGATTTTAAACGTTTTGTTGTCATAATAGGACAGTATATGGTACAGGGAATGTTGGTTGTAACCTGTTTGTTGAACGAGGGTCGTGTTATAGTGTTTGGAGACTCGTGGCTCGGTCGGCGTGGAGCTATCGCATTATCGGGCGTTGCCCGCCATGGCGACTGTTCGCGAACTCGTGTCTCAAAACGGGAGGTTTGGGGTTTAAAACTCGGTTACGAAACAAGATACTTCGCTTATTGCTTCGAGAATGTTCTTGAATTAATCAATAGCCTGAACATCGTCATTTGTGAGACTTAGAAATCAACATGGCGGACGCACTATTTATCAGCGTGAACATGCCGGCAAAGTGGTCGGGTTCGGACACTTGCATGGATTGGTCACATGTTATATTAATGGCTACCGTTGATTCAGCATTTTTCAAACATGGTTATTGACTAATACTCGTAGGACAAGTGACGAGCAAACAACGTGTAGTTTGACTTGAAACTGAGCTTTGTATACTGTAGACAATCTTGGAGAACGCAGACACAGCTTAGTCCGGGTCAAAGGTCAACATGACCTGGGATTGCTCTAAACTCACCCTGTGGTGTTGCGGTCTCCCTCGCGGTACAGTGAGGACTGGAAGGTTTGGTGGCGCGTCACGTGGGGGGAATGACTGTGTGGAAGGGTGGGGTTGAGGTGTGAAGGGTTATGGAAGTGTGGGGTTTAGATTTGATAGAGAGCATGCCATGAACGGATGGGATTGAGGTTTGAGGATAAGGTATTCATAGAGGCTTGAAACGGCCTTGAATTTTAACGTCGCTCTGCTAGATCTTAACCAAAATATTGAGAGACGAAGGCTAATAGGCCTAATATAAAACTGAAAAAAGCCCTGAAAATGACACTTGAATTTAAGTGTTCCATATCTGTATGAACCTTGGAGGTGGTTCTGAAGGGATGGGGTTATGGTTTGAGAGGTGGTTGTGAAGGGTGAGGTTGAGGTTTGAGAGCTGGTCATGAAGGGGTGGGGTTGAGGTTTGAGAGGTGGTCGTGAAGGGGAGGGGTTGAGGTTTGAGAGGTGGTCATGAAGGGGTGGGGTTGAGGTTTGAGAGCTGGTCATGAAGGGGTGGGGATGAGGTTTGAGAGGTGGTCGTGAAGGGGAGGGTTTGAGAGGTGGTCGTGAAGCAGAGGGGTTCAGGTTTGAGAGGTGGTCGTGAAGCTGAGGGGTTCAGGTTTGAGAGGTGGTCGTGAAGCAGAGGGGTTCAGGTTTGAGAGGTGGTCGTGAAGCAGAGGGATTCAGGTTTGAGAGGTGGTCGTGAAGCAGAGGGGTTCAGGTTTGAGAGGTGGTCGTGAAGCAGAGGGGTTCAGGTTTGAGAGGTGGTCGTGAAGCAGAGGGGTTCAGGTTTGAGAGGTGGTCGTGAAGCAGAGGGGTTCAGGTTTGAGAGGTGGTCGTGAAGCAGAGGGGTTCAGGTTTGAGAACGAGCATGTCATGAAGGGGTGGGGTGGAGGTTTGGGAGCATATTATGAAAGGGTTGCGACTGAAAGCTGTCAATGCTGCAGGCGCATTGTTAAGGACACGCCCAAATGAAACTCACAGAAACTGTTAGGGTTTGTATATCATTTAAGTTAAGTGTGATATGCATAAGTACTCTGCAAAATATCAAAACTTTCAGAAGTTTATTTACCTCGAAAAGAAAACATCTCGAGTTAGGAGAGTATCGGCTAAATTTCTGGGCACACATGACAGAAGCGGCCATCATATATAACTGGAAAATTGCTGAGTGCTGCCTTAAACAAGAACAACATTATACATAACTGTTAGTCACAGGGTTGGATTTTTGTTTTTTGTTTGTTTGTTGTTGAACGCCACACTGAGCAATACTCCAGCTATATGATGGCGGTCTTTAAATAATCGAGTCTGGACCAGACAATCCAGTGATTGACATCATGAACATCAAGGCACGCACTTGGGATCAATGACATGCATCAACCAAGTCAGCGAGCCTGACCACCCGATCCCGTTAATCGCCTTTACGGCAAGCATGGGTTGCTGAAGACCTATTCTACCCTGGATCTTCACAGGTCCAAAGGGTTGGAGCCTTAACAGCATGTTTTGCAGTCTCATCGGAGAGGCTTGGTAAATATAGCTTGTAGTGGCTTGTGATCGACCTCGACAGTGACTGGACCCCGAAATTGTAGTAATGGAACATTTTGCAACTGTGTACTATTGCGAGTATCTCCTTTTCGATCTGAGCGTACCGCTTTTCGGTATCAGTGAGTGCTTGGGACGAGTATGCAACCGGGTGTCCGTCTTGTAACAGTACTGTTCCTACTACATAACTGCTTGCATCACATTATATTACTGGGGCGGTCGGGTAGCCTAGTGGTTAAAGCATTCGCTCGCCACGCCGAAGACCCGGGTTCGATTCCCGACATGGGTACAATGTGTGAAGCCCATTTCTGGTGTCCCCCACCGTGATTTTGCTGGAATATTGCTAAAAGCGGCGTAAAACCATACTCACTCACTCACATTGTATTACTGATGGCTTGTTGACATCAAATACTGTAAGTACAGAAGTCGTACTACACCGGTTTCTGAGCTTGTCAAATGAGGTCTGATGGGGTTTCTCCAAGAAGAAGTCAGCATCTTTCTTGATAACCTCTCTCAAAGGATAAGATGTTGGACACCCATAACTGCTCTTTTTGCGCTGTAGGTCAATTAATATCATTGTGCGTCACTCGGTATGCAGAATTTTTGTTCTTCTTCATCTGCATCCAGGAAGAACGGGTGGCCCTGTCGTCTAAGGCGCAGTGATTCACTGTGCAGAGTTGTGTCCCTTGGCCACGCCAGAAACCTACGATTTTGGGTTTGAATCCCAGGTTCGCCCCGATTATGTTTCTAGGTTTGTCAGCACCATACCCGTGCTCATGGGTTTCACCGAAGTGGTAAAGGTCTATGACCTGCATTACTTCAGGCTGTCCTCCCATATTAAGCTGACACTCTGCGAAAAACTGGAATACTGTTAAAAGCAGCATTAAACCAATCTCTCTCACTCACTCTTCTGCATCCATTCTCAACATTTGTATAACTGGATACACATTGTGAAAATTGTGCATCACATAAGGACTTAATCCCTGGGTTAAGATTAGGAAGGATTTCATGAAGGGTTTGAGGACATATCAGAAAGGAGTGGTTGAGGTTTGACAAGCATGTCTTGAAGGGGTGGGGGGAGAAGGGGTGTTAGATGGAGCATGTGATTTGGGGATTGGGTTTAAAATGAGAACTTGAGATGAGAGGGGGCATGTGTTGAAAAGATTAGGAAGGATGATCTGTGTGATTCATCGTGTGAAAGGGGGGTTACTCTGATTACAATCTGGAGCTATGTGTGTTTTGGTATTTGCAAAAATTGCTGTTTGTGGCTCTGCACATTGTCGTTGGTAAAACTATTAATACGCCATCTAATCCCTAAGCTATTCTTAATCAAATGTTTAAATGTATATTTTATTTTTATTGTCCCATCCGTCACTGGCATCAAATTAAATTACATTTTTTGCCAGTGAAATTAAGAATTTGGGAACATATTAGTATTCCCTAAATGTGGACCCACTTTATTTTTCAGAATAGAGATAGTTGTAGGTGGGCCCACATTTTTTAAAGCCAGGAGTGGTAGTATGTTGAGATGCTCATTATCTTAGGCTGGTTGAGTGCCCATAATCATTTTCTAAAATGTCGGCCCTCTTTTCTCCTGTCATATATGGGAGCACGGGTGGCCCAGTCGCCAAAGCGCCACGATTCGCTGTGCAGAGTTGCTTCCTTTGGGCACGCCAGAAACCTATGATTGTGGGTCCGAATCCCGGTTCGCCCCAATTATGTTTCTAGGTTGGTCAGCACCATACCCGTGCTCGTGGGTTTTACCAAACTGGTAAATGTCTATGACCTGCATCACTTCGGGCTTCCCTCCCACACTAAGCTGGCACGCCATGATATAGCTGGAAAAACCCAACTCACTCACTCCTGTCGTATATGGTTCCGTAGCAAGCACAGGGACTTGTTGTTGTAATGCAAAAAAATAGCTACAAGATATATGGTCACACCCAGTGTCAGTATGCTATATCCTTTTATATTGTATACTATATGGTATACTGGGTGTGACTTTATATATATGGTCACACCCAGTGTCAGTATGCTATATCCTTTTATATAGTATACTATATGGTATACTGGGTGTGACGATATGTATATGGTCACACCCAGTGTCAGTATGCTATATCCTTTTATATACTATTTGGTATACTGTGTGTGACTATATATATATGGTCACAACCAGTGTCAGTATGCTATATCCTTTTATATTGTATACTATTTGGTATACTGGGTGTGACTATATATATATGGTCACACCCAGTGTCAGTATGCTATATCCTTTTATATTGTATACTATATGGTATACTGGGTGTGACTATATATCTTGTAGCTGCTATTTCCGTGGTAGCAAGTGGGCCCAAATTTGTGTATCACCAAGCTGTATTAGGTTGACTTAGTGTTCATTATCAGTTTCTAAAAGTGGACTGAAAAACAAGCGGGACAACATTTATATATCGTGAAGCTTCGTTAGGTTGGCCTACTGATCATGCTGATAAGCATTTTCTAAAACATACGCAGGGCGGTCGGATAGCCTAGTGGTTAAAGCGTTCGTTCGTCACGCCGAAGACCTGGGTTCGATTCCCAACATGGGTACAATTTGTGAAGCCCATTTCTGGTGTCCCCTGCCATGACATTGCTGGAATATTGCTAAAAACGGCATAAAACCATACTCACTCACTCATTAAAACATACGCAGTTCTTCAGTCATTCGCTTTAGGCCTTGCACTGGTCGGAACAGGTGGGGCCCCCATTTGAAGATCACTGGGCTTCATTAGATTGACTTAGTGTGTCATATTTGTAATTAATTTGCATAGATAGATAGATAGATATATACAAACACATATCATTCTCATTTTCTATATTGATGGGAAATGTCTTTATTATTTCTTGGTACAATGTGTGAAGTCCATTTCTGGCGTCCCTCGCCGTGATATTGCTGGAATATAAAGCGGCGAGAAACCATACTCACTTACTCACTCACGAAATGATTTAATAAGTGTGATGTTGCTTCCACAAAAGGTACACAAATCTCCATGAAGTTTGAAGATTGAATTCAATAACAGCTTTGCAAAATTACCTACAACACTGTTCCATCTACTTTTTCCGAGCCAACACATCAATCTAGTCATAAAGTCATTGGTCATATACCCTGGGGGAATGGTAGGGAGGGGCACCAAATAGTATGACAGTTTCTTACTTATTTAAAATAAAAGACATGTTTGGGGAGGGTCATGAAAAATTGGCTTTTTGTAATAAAATACAAAGTACTTTTGCATTTTATCTTTTCTTGGAGGGTCATGAAAAAATATACAAGGACACGGGTAGGGTCATCCGTAAATACGACAAGTATTAGGGGAGGGTGATTATTTTTAGTATGAACATATAATCTGTGACATCGTTTATTACAGAATTTATTTTTCTCCACACAAAAATAAATTCCCTCTGCTGATATGTCGAATCAGACTTGTTTTTTTATAATCTAGATTGGTTTTGGTTTCACTAAATACATGCATCCATAATCATGATGCAAGAGGAAGATCTTGTGCGCATAATCTGTTTTAATCAACACACATGGTCTGAAATAAACTATTATTACACAAGTAGAGATGTTTGCCTACAACAATGGTTGTTTACAAGACTTTCATCAGTGTTCGAAATACATGCCTGCCCGACCGTCCGAGACGGGTTGATTTCAACTCGGGCTGCCAGATTTTCAAATCCCCCTGCCCAGCGGTCGGGTTATATTTCATAGGTGACAATATTCTAAATATTTCCCGATGATAATCATTAATTCACATGTAAAGATGAATGATAAAATGTAACCAAAAAGAAATCCTGTTAGCTTATCCTGAGAAACATATGATTATAGTGGGCAGGCAGGTTTTGGTCAGGGCTGGCAAGTATTTCAGCTAGCCAGTCCTGTGGTCTGGCTGAAATTTTTGGGAGTTTCATACCTTGCTTTCATCCAGTCCTAAAATCTGAATACTGCAACCATGTCTTCTAGTTGTTTGTATGAAAGGGAGGTAACTCACCTGTTGTCTCCCTTGAATCGGGTTCATGAAAATGTCAAGCCACATATGAATGGGAGAAAACGTTTTGTTTCACGTCTCAACATTATTTTTGAGGCACTGTGTATTTTAAACATGATTCTGATATATAACTTGGATAGATTGAAAATAATAAGAGTGATATAGACACACAACATATCTTTTTGAATGTTATCAACACATTAGCATGATTAGTATGACAAAAGAACAAGAGTGTTATGTAAACCCATGATATGCTACTCAACTTTTGATAGGGAGTCTCATGTGTCATTGTATTCAAATATACACTAGGCAGTTAGAATTTTTTTGTGTATCAGGAAAAGATAAAAGAATTCCTATCAGAAGTGGAGAAGTATATGTTCTGTTTGTTTAATTGTTGTTTAACGCCGCACTCAGCAATATTCCAGCTATATGACGGCGGTCTGTAAGTAATCGAGTCTGGACCAGACAATCCAGTGATTGACATCATGAGCATCGTTCCACGCAATTGGGATCGATGACATGCATCAACCAAGTCAGCGTGCCTGACCACCCGATCTTATTAGTCTCCTCTTACGACAAGCATAGTCTCCTATACGGCAAGCATGGGCAGCTGAAGACCTATTCTACCCCGGATCTTCATGGGTGGAGTAGTTCATGTAAAGACCCCTTGCTCTCATTGGGAAGGGACGGTCTGGTAGCCTAGTGGTTAAAGCATTCGCTTGTCACGCCGAAGACCGGGGTTCGATTCCCAAGATGGGTACAATGTGTGAAGCCCATTTCTGGTGTCCCCGCTGTGATATTGCTGGAATATTGCTAAAAGCGGCATAAAACCATACTCACTTTCATCGGGGACATATTGTTAGTTTGTTCGCTTTCCCACATGCAACCATACAATTCTGTCAAAATTTAAGCATCTGTAAGTGTCTGTGAAAATGCAGAAGTGTTGAAGCTGAAATTGACAGGCATGTATTTTCCAATGAGGAGTTGGAATCTGTGGTGTTATTGAAAATACTGTTTTTTTATCATGCAACCTCGAAAAGGTTAATGCAAGCATCCTGAACAACAGGTACGGGCTGTATGACTGATTTGGTGGGAAAAACATTCAAAAGGGAAAGACTGCCATACAATTTCAGCCATCTGTTAGACATCCAAAATTTTTCGTTTGTTCAGTTTACAAATTTTGAATCACTACTTTTCAAAGCAGAGTCTTGAATGAAAGTTGCAAATTTGAAACTAGTGCCGCAAAATTATGCTGCTTTCTAATAAGGTAATGTCGACTTCTTGTTACTCATTGGTCGCTCAAAGTTAGGGAAACGTGGCCTGTATTGGGGTGTCTCAGATCTTTGTGTAGTGGTAGCGAGCACCAACATCTGATTTGATTGAGATTGCCATAGGACTCCCTCATGGGACTGCTTCAAGGCTGATTATTTCCGTATTTCTGTTTCAGACAAGCAGGATGTCGTGGGATTGCTACATGGACACCTTGGCAGGTTATACCAGTCAAAAAATGATATTTGGCGGCATCTATGGATTCGACGGCTCAAGATGGACAGACAAGGGGGACATTGCCCCGAACACAAAGGAAATCTCAGCCATGGTGAATGCTTGCAATAACAACAGTGCCGACTTATCAACTGCATACACTAATGGGTTGTTTATGAAAGATAAGAAGTTCAGGTTCTTGCGGGGCGATCCTGAGGAGAAATATATAATATTTACCCGTTCTGAGGGCGAAAAGCTTCAAAATGGCTGCGCTGTGTTGACAAATCAAACCATCCTACTCTGTGTGTGTCAAGAGGAAAGTAAAAGTTCGATCGCGGTTGACAGTGCAATTAAGCTCGCCAAGTACTTAAAGGATAACAACTATTAACTGAGCTCCTCTGACCAGTTCTTATGTGGACAACATGGCAGAGTATCGTCGTGTTGTTGGCCAATACAACATTCCGCAGCCTAAACCAATGCTATGCTAATATGACAATGGACTATCTATTAACTATGTAATGGTGGTGATTAAACCAATTCTAGTCTATACTATCAGACTGTTCAGAACACGTTTCTCAGTGCATGACACGGAACCTGTTGCTTGTAACTCGTTTCACTAGATGCTCACCTTTACGAACTGTTTTGTTGAATGTTTGAAAAGTCAACAAAGTGATTGGAATAATAAAACAAATTCTTCTGTTACGCGTTAGATTCTGTTGCAATTGTGTAACCCCATCACTTGGCCTTATTAGGAATAATTGTAATAAACAAGCTGTTGTCACTTTGCTCTTTTAGTTATGTCAAATTTCCGGCTTCACTTCCTTAGTCATTTTCATTTGGAGAGACCGCCTCCGTGGTCTAGTGATAGAGAGGTCATTTTCATTTGGAGAGACCGCCTCCGTGGTCTAGTGATAGAGAGGTCATTTTCATTTGGAGAGACCGCCTCCGTGGTCTAGTGGGAGAGAGGTCATTTTCATTTGGAGAGACTGCCTCCGTGGTCTAGTGATAGAGAGGTTATTTTCATTTGGAGAGACCGCCTCGTTAGTCTAGTGATAGAGAGGTCATTTTCATTTGGAGAGACCGCCTCCATGGTCTAGTGATAGAGAGGTCATTTTCATTTGGAGAGACCGCCTCCGTGGTCTAGTGATAGGGGTCATTTTCATTTGGAGAGAATGCCTCCGTGGTCTAGTGATAGAGAGGTCATTTTCATTTGGAGAGACCACCTCCGTGGTCTAGTGATAGAGAGGTCATTTTCATTTGGAGAGACCGCCTCTGTGGTCTAGTGATAGAGAGGTCATTTTCATTTGGAGAGACCGCCTCCGTGGTCTAGTGATAGAGAGGTCATTTTCATTTGGAGAGACCACCTCCATGGTCTGTGGGAGAGTGACCGCTTCTGTGGTCTAGTGATAGAGAGATCGCCACCATGGTCTAGTGGGAGAGAGACTGCCTCCGTGGTCTAGTGATAAAGAGGTCATTTTCATTTGGAGAGACCGCCTCCATGGTCAAGTGGGAGAGAGGTCATTTTCATTTGGAGAGACTGCCTCCTTGGTCTAGTGATAGAGAGATCGCCTCCATGGTCTAGTGGGAGAGAGACCGCCTCCATGGTCTAGTGGGAGAGAGACCGCCTCCGTGGTCTAGTGATAGAGAGACAGCCTCCGTGTCTAGTGGTAGAGAGACTGCCTCCGTGTCTAGTGATAGAGAGACCGCCTCCATGGTCGAGTGGCCTCTGTGTCCAGTGGTAGAGAGACAGCCTCCATGGTCTAGTGGGAGAGAGACCGCCTCCGTGCACACACACACACACACACACACACACACACACACACACACACGTTAAATCCCATTTCACCTCATCTCGCCTCAATTAGGGGACACCAGTATTTGGACTTATCCATTGCTGTTACTGGAACCGATATATAGTACTCAAAAGAAGTTGGAGAACACCTGATTCTTTCATATGACTGCAGTTAATCTGGAATAGCTTGACACAACTAGAGTAATATGAAAGAATCAGGTGGTCTGGGTCAGGAGAAAGTCACACCTTTTATACAAACATATGCAGATTAGATTCTTCTTCGAACTTATACAGATTAAAATAACAGGAAGTAGCTAAAATGTGCAGCAACCGCCCAGAGGTTATAAGAGACCTGGAAACTGTATTTGACACAGACCAATCATGACAAGGGTCAAGGTCATCTAAGAGGTCAAAGCATGAATAGCTTGTTTGAAGGATATCTCAAGAAGCATTTAATGTTTGACAAACTTGCTACATGTTGCCCTTGGGACCTCTGCAATTTGAAAAAATAGCCAATTGACCTTTGAACATTGACAAGGCCACAGCGAAAATCATTCATGAAGTATTTATGTCATTTCTGCTGTCCCTTCCGAAGTCTCGTCCATGTTGTTATATTTGAGTATGTATCTATGGCAAGTGATGACAATCTAAAGATGTCAGTTGTAGGTCACTGTGGCCTACTTTCAATGAGGCATGTGGTATCTCGAATTCCACCTCATGTTTGGTATATTTGCTGGATAGTCCTGTGGATTTTTTGCTTGTTCTTTAACTCTGCACTCAACGATATTCCAGCTATATGACAGCGGTCTGTAAATAAACAAGTCTGGACCAGGCATCCAGTGATTGACATCATGAGCATCGTTCTACGCAACTGGGATGAACTAAACTTAACCCACCTTACGTAAAATGGACTTGTTCCACATTTCCAAGGTCGGATTCTATCCAGGGAGTCATCATTATTAAAACTTGAGTAAATATTTTTAAAGCTTGTACATTTTATCAACTGTACATACTGTTGATATCTCAAAGAAGAAATAAACGACTCGTGGTCGTTGTTTTTCGTACAATAAAACACTGCAGGGCGAATATTTATTCTCCCGGCAGTATTTTATTGTAGGATAAACAACTCCAACTCGTCGTTTATTTCTAAAGCTGTTTTTATTTTTTTTAACCCGCACACAGCAATATTCCAGCTGTATGAAGGTGGTTTGTAAATAATCAAGTCTGGACCAGACAATCCAGTGACTGACATCATGAGCATCAGTCCACGCAATTGGGATACGATGACATGCATCAAGCAAGTCAGCGAGCCTGACCACCTGACCACGTTAAAAGATGGTACTTCTTGTTAACCTATCTGGCGCTCGGCAATAAGGCTTAAGCAAAGACTGGTCGGCTCGGAGTCAGTATACTGTGTCTGAGTGGGGTATTCATGTTAAACTGCGGCATGGTATCTCAGTGGGCTAGCACTATAAATCGGCATCTGTCCGGACTAGTACAAGCAGCCACACAAACACACACGTACATGCCCGTCGCTATATAAGTGCAATAATCTTGGACGCGACGTTAAACCCCATCTCACCTCACCTCACCTCACCTCTGGACCTGTCCATCCAACGATTGACATCATGAACATCGACCTACACAATTGGGATACGATTACATGCTTGAACAAGGGTTGCTGAAGACCTATTCTTAACCCGGAATCTTCACAGGACCCCTGTGGAATGGCCTGGACATATATGTCGCAGATATTGAAGCTCAAATTCACTCTCAGTGTCATACACTCAAAAATTTATTATGTTCATGAAGTTCTAACTGTAAAAGGGTTAACTTTTCAATATATGATCTTCAGGAGGGAGGATTGAATTGGAATGGTTGTGTGTGACATTCATAGACTGTCATGATCATTGATTATAACCATGACGTCACAATCAAATGACATTACCAATGGCCCTGCTACTGAAGCTGTTAGCAGCACTTTTTAAGTGAAGACACTGTTTATTACTGTCTACAAACTGAAAAAGTTGGAAGAATGATGATTGATGATAAATAAAATATCACTCTCGTGTCTTTCGATATCAAATACTTGAGTTGATATTTTTTATATCATAAGACACTCGGTTGAGATTCTCCGTCTCCAGACCTTCCCCGTGGTCTAGTGGCGTGCGGAAGGTCGGTGGCTCGGTTCTCTGGCCGCGTCATACCAAAAGACGTTAAAATATGGTATTTGTTGTTACCCTGTCTGGCGCTCGGCATTAAGGGGCTGAAACAAGGACTGGTCGGCTCGGAGTCAGTATACTGTGTCTGAGTGGGGTAATCATTTTAAACCGCGGCATGGTATCTCAGTGGGCTAGCACTATAAATCGGCATCAGTCCGGACTAGTACAAGCAGCAACAAACACACACACACATGTGCATGCACGTCGCTATATAAGTGCAATAATCTTGGACGTGACGTTTAACCCAATTTCACCTCACCTCCTCGTGGTCTAGTGGCGTGCGGAAGGTCGGGGGCTCGATTCTCTGGTTGCGTCATACCAAAAGACGTTGATACATGGTACTGGGGTTTAACATTACCTCGATAAAACAGTGACTGGTCGGCTTGGAGTCGGTAAAGTCTGTCCATGGGGTATTCATCTTAAACTGGCATTTTCTGACTGTAAATGTCAAGTTTCCACACCTTGCCTTGGGAAGATGTATTTCAGTGGGCAAGTGCCATAAAACCGAGATTAGTCTTAACTAGTGCAAGCAAGAGAGAGCGCTCACGCACGCACGCACGCACGCACGCACGCACACATCATGTATATACTGAACTAATCCCCTCTGTTTCTGGGATGTTTGTAAGAGCTAGTTCCTAGAGCTATTAGCACAGGGCTTTCTTATTTCATATTTGTTTTTTCCGAAACCAGCATCCAAATCCTAAAAAATATGTCTCTGAAAATGTTTGGAAAAAAACAGTTATGCTGCAGACATCTGGAAAAGAAAATTGCCTCCCACAAGAAAATGCTTTGTCGCAAGGTGTTTTTCATTTTTTTATTTAAATCAGGCTGTCATTCATAGTTCTAATTAAAAAAATATCTTGTTTTGCAGCTGAAGCTGAAAAAACATCCAGTGTCTGATACAGTTCTTCTTTTTGACTGGTTCCATATGTTCCCATGTTTGTTCAGGTGAACACTTGACTTGCCTTTGCATGTGTTTGTGATGGGTGCCATGCACCTATGAGGCAGGATACGTTGACAATTTCTCGAACACCTAGTATCATCACTATTTCATAAATTCAAAAACACATGCTTGTTGTACAGTTAACAAACATATGAACAACGCCCTTGTTGACTATTAACTGGCTGATGGTGCTATCTATCCTTGACCAGGGCTGCACAACTTTACAGACAGGCCTGTTCAAAGGATATACCATCAACGGAACTGGCGTTCACGGGAACGGGAAGGAAAACCATCCGGCATCTAACTTGTTTGCTTGCAAGATCACATGTACGGAGATGTTTCTTGCACAACGTGGAATGTGAACCTGCCGTCGCAGTCCCTTCCCACATTTGTAGCTAATGAACGCATCCCTAGCGAGAAATATGAAAGGTCACGAAAGGTTAAAGGCTTTAAAAGTGCGAGCAGATACATCATAGGAAGTTCGCAGTGTGCGTGGGTGTGGGTGTGTGCGTGCGTGTGTGTGTGCGTGCGGGCACGCGCGCGTGTGTGTGTGTGTTTGTGTGTGTGCGGGCGCGCGTTTCAAAAGGGTTTACTTTTCCATACTCTTACAAACAAGACGTTAAGAGGTATGTTTGCGATATACCATTTTCAGTTCGGTTTATTCGTTAACAGTGATCCGACAAAGATCCTTAATGAAAACAATATTTAGTTTCGGACGTGAAATATACTTACATCCTAGTTGATCGTGACCACGCCCCAAATACATGACCCATATTACCGACCACGCCCCACTAGATGACCCATATAACAGACTGAGGCCCACTAAATG